CCAGGGTGGCACAGGGACGTGCCCCAGGGGTGCTGAGCAGTGAGTGAGGAGGGAGAGAAGGGGAGCTCTGGGCAGAGCTGCTGACCCCTGCGGGGCTGTGAGAGCCCCCAGCACTGCCCAGGGCCCCCGTGCTCCACCTGCAGCCCCCCAGCCCCTCTGAGCAGCACAGACCCTGCCAGCACAGCCCCAGCTCTGCACAGAGCACTGCCAGAACAGCTGCCATGGGGTCACACCACAGGCAGGCCCCTCAGAGGGGCAGCAGGGCCCACACATACACACACACATGGGCAGAGCCCACACACACACACGGGCAGAGCCCACACACACACACACACACACGGGCAGAGCCCACACAAACACACACACATGGGCAGAGCCCACACACACACACACACACACGGGCAGAGCCCACACACACACACACATGGGCAGAGCCCACACAAACACACACACACATGGGCAGAGCCCACACACACACAGAGCAGAGCCCACACACACATGGGCAGAGCCCACCCACACACACACATGGGCAGAGCCCACACACACACATGGGCAAAGCCCACACACACACACACACACACGGGCAGAGCCCACACACACAAACACACATGGGCAGAGCCCACACACACACACACATGGGCAGAGCCCACACACACACACACACACACGGGCAGAGCCCACACACACACATGGGCAAAGCCCACACACACACACACACACACGGGCAGAGCCCACACACACACACACACACACATGGGCAGAGCCCACACACACACACACACATGGGCAGAGCCCACACACACACAGAGCAGAGCCCACACAAACACACACACATGGGCAGAGCCCACACACACACACACACACACACGGGCAGAGCCCACACACACAAACACACATGGGCAGAGCCCACACACACACACACATGGGCAGAGCCCACACACACACACACACACACGGGCAGAGCCCACACACACACATGGGCAAAGCCCACACACACACACACACACACGGGCAGAGCCCACACACACACACACACACACATGGGCAGAGCCCACACACACACACACACATGGGCAGAGCCCACACACACACAGAGCAGAGCCCACACAAACACACACACATGGGCAGAGCCCACACACACACAGAGCAGAGCCCACACAAACACACACACAGAGCAGAGCCCACACACACAAACACACACACATGGGCAGAGCCCACAAACACACACACATGGGCAGAGCCCACACACACACACACACACACGGGCAGAGCCCACACGCACACACACACACATGGGCAGAGCCCACAAACACACACACATGGGCAGGGCCCACACATACACACACACACATGGGCAGAGCCCACACATACACACACACACATGGGCAGAGCCCACACACACACACACACACGGGCAGAGCCCACACACACACACACACACATGGGCAGAGCCCACACGCACACACATGGGCAGAGCCCACACAAACACACACACACACACAGGGCAGAGCCAACACACACACACACACACATGGGCAGAGCCCACACACACACACACATGGGCAGAGCCCACACAAACACACACGGGCAGAGCCCACACACACACACACACACACGGGCAGAGCCCACACGCACACACACACACACGGGCAGAGCCCACACACACACACACACACAGAGCAGAGCCCACACAAACACACACACACATGGGCAGAGCCCACACACACACACACACACATGGGCAGAGCCAACACACACACACACACATGGGCAGAGCCAACACACACACACACACACGGGCAGAGCCCACACACACACACACACACATGGGCAGAGCCCACACAAACACACACACATGGGCAGAGCCCACACAAACACACACACACATGGGCAGAGCCCACACACACACAGAGCAGAGCCCACACACACATGGGCAGAGCCCACACACACACACACACACATGGGCAAAGCCCACACACACACACACACACACGGGCAGAGCCCACACACACACACACACACGGGCAGAGCCCACACAAACACACACATGGGCAGAGCCCACCCACACACACACACATGGGCAGAGCCCACACACACACACACATGGGCAGAGCTCACACACACACACACACATGGGCAGAGCCCACACACACACACACACGGGCAGAGCCCACACACACACACACACACACGGGCAGAGCCCACACGCACACACACACACACGGGCAGAGCCCACACACACACACACATGGGCAGAGCCCACACAAACACACACGGGCAGAGCCCACACACACACACACACACATGGGCAGAGCCCACACAAACACACACGGGCAGAGCCCACACGCACACACACGGGCAGAGCCCACACACACACACACACATGGGCAGAGCCCACACACACACACACACACACGGGCAGAGCCCACACGCACACACACACACATGGGCAGAGCCCACACACACACACACACACACGGGCAGAGCCCACACACACACATGGGCAAAGCCCACACACACACACACACATGGGCAGAGCCAACACAAACACACACACACGGGCAGAGCCCACACACACACACACACACGGGCAGAGCCAACACACACACAGAGCAGAGCCCACACACACACACACACACATGGGCAGAGCCCACACAAACACACACGGGCAGAGCCCCCACACACACACACACACACGGGCAGAGCCCACACACACACACACACACATGGGCAGAGCCCACACACACACACACATGGGCAGAGCCCACACACACACACACACACACGGGCAGAGCCCACACACACACATGGGCAAAGCCCACACACACACACACACACACGGGCAGAGCCCACACACACAAACACACACACATGGGCAGAGCCCACACACACACACACACACGGGCAGAGCCCACACACACACACACATGGGCAGAGCCCACACGCACACACATGGGCAGAGCCCACACAAACACACACGGGCAGAGCCCACACACACACACACAGAGCAGAGCCCACACACACACACACACACACGGGCAGAGCCAACACACACACAGAGCAGAGCCCACACACACACACACACACACGGGCAGAGCCCACACAAACACACACATGGGCAGAGCCCACGCCTGGCACTGCCCCATCCAGGCTGGGTGTCCCTGCAGGCTGGGCCTGCCTGTGATCACTGAAGTTTAAGACCTTTATTTCTGTAGCACTGGAGAGCAATAACCATTCCATCTCAGACTGGAGACATGAAGGCCACATAAATCAAAGCCACTTGGGCGCTTTTCATTTGGTCTCATTTTCCCCCAGTGATTAATCATGGAGCAGTCCCGTGCCCCTGGGAACACACACACACACTCACACACAGACACTCACACACACACTCACTCACATTCACACTCACACAGATAATCACTCACTCACACACTCACAGACACAGAAACTCTCACACAAACACTCACACACTCACTCACACTCATACCCAACACCTGCTCCTCCACCCTGCACACGCTGCCTGCAGCCCAGAGCTGGGATACTGAAAAGCACCAGGGGAAGGTCTGGAGAGCCAGCAGGAGGTTTTAGCTGCAGGCTCCTGCCAAGGAAGAGAGCTGGCATGTCCTGAACCCTGCCGAAATCCAGAGGGCAGCTCTATCCGTTCCTGGTCCCGCTTGGTGCCACAGCAAGGGGACAGGGGTCCCAGAGGGACAAGGTGCAGGAAATGTTGAGTGGGGAGAGAAACATGCTAGAAACTAACCATGAATTAACCAAGCAGGGCCAAATGTGTGGAGCTTGTACAAATCATTGATTTCTGTGGGAAGTTGTGCCTTTTGAGCCTGTGAGTAGAGGGTGGCCCCAGAGCCTGAATTCCAGAGGCCGGGCATGTCCTGAGCCCCGAGCTGGCTCTGCAGCGCAGGCCCAGCGGTGCAGAGTCTGTTCTGTGAGCATTTCCCAGGCAGAGCCCTCCTGCAGCACCCACAGAGGGGACAGCTCGGGCAGGGACAGGGCAGGGACAGCTGGGTCAGGGACAGCTGGGTCAGGGACAGCTCCTCCTGCACCCACAGCATCCCACAGGTGACCCCAGCTGCCCACGGCGCCCTGCTCTGCAGCCCCTGCAGGTGCACTGCTCCTGCAGGGCTCCCCAGCTGCAGCCAGCTCCTGCCTGCCCATCCTCTGCACACGTATTGCTTCCTTTTTTAGGGTGCACCCGACCCCAAACACGGCTGGGGGCTGCTGGAGACCCCAGGGTTCCCTGGCACCCCTGCCCAGCCCTGCAGGCACCGAGGCTCCTCCTGGCTGGAGCTGCAGCAGGAGCACAGAAAGGACAGTGCAGGCAGCACTGCAGCTCCCACAGCAGTGTCTGGGCTGTGGGAGGGGAGCCTGGGACCTGCAGGACACTGACTGAGTCAGAGCTGAGTGATCTGTGCTACCAGCACTGCCCACACTTTATATTCATATATATATATATATATAAACTCTTCTTCCTGTGCCTTTAGAGAAGAAATGATTGATCCCAAATCCTGCAGCTGGTTTGTTCCCAGCTGTGGCCTCCCCAGCTGGAGCACGGGAGTGTTCTGTCCTTCTCCACGGCTGCCCCAGCAGCCCGAGCCCCCTGCCCAGCCCTGGCTGTGCCCCTGCCTGTGCCAGCCCTGCCTGTGCCAGCCCTGGCTGTGCCAGCCCCAGCCCCTCTCTGGCCAGCCCGTGCCCCCCTACCCTGGCCGTTTCCTGGGCTCGGGGCAGTGCAGGAGCAGCCCAGCCCTTCCCATGGCTGCAGTGCCACCAGGGCCCTGGCAGGGCTGGCACCACAGGAGGGGCTGCAGGGAGCTCCTGCAGGGCTGTGCTGCCCCTGGCACAGCCCTGCTCCCTCCTGCAGTGCCAGCTCTGAGCCCCTGCGTGGGCTGGGGGGGCTCTGGGCTGAGGGGCTGCAGTGCCCACTGTCCCTGCCAGCTGGGACAGCCCCTCCTGGCACACACAGCTGGCACCTGCAGGACCAGCATCCCCACACAGCCCAGAGCCGTCCCTGCAGCTTTCCACACCTGTAACAGCCGAGAGCCCTGGGGAACAGGGAGGGACACGGCCTCCCAAACAAACACAGTATTTCACTGATGGTGACACAAACCCAGAGACTGCACCCTGCTCTCCCCAGGGACACATTCACAGTGCCCCAGGGAGGGGAAGGACAGGCAGGGGGAGAGGAGAGAGACAGGGAGATGGATTCGTACTGTTCAGCCCTCAGAGGCCTGGAGGAGAAACGGGACATCCACAGACTAAAAAAATGCTCTTTTCTGAGAAAGTGCAGTTATAAGGAGAGAGCCAGAAAATCTTTAAGCAATATATATTGCTATATATATACATATATATATACACAGAGATATATATACACACATATATATATGCACATATATAAATACACATGCTTAAACTGCGGGGCAGGGCTGGGCTCTGTGCTGTGCTCCTCCCTGCAGGCACACGGGGTCTGAGCAGGCTGCAGAGGGCACCGAGCCCTGCCCACCCTGCCCTGCCTGCTGGGGCCACACCAGCGTGCCCTGGCTGTGCCATTAAGGTTTTCAGCTTGTGTAAGACTCGGAGTTTACAAACAAAAGCGTTTGTCATTGTGCTTCCGGGACTGCAGAGAGATCGCTGCCCTACCACTAGAAATGTTAAGGTGAAATAGGCAAGTTAGGCAGTACTAGAGATGGGTTTGGTTTTGGCGACCTAACGCACAGTTATTACTGGGAGTTCCCGTTGTGTCCCTTGGCTCTGGCTCTCGGTACGGGGCCGTGCCTCTGCCCACCCCGATCCTACAGGTGGTACTTGCGCAGCAGTTCCGATTGCCAGGGGTGCTTCCTCTCGGGAAACCTGTCTGGGATTTTGATCTTGAGGAAATCCTGGATGCATTTCTCCAGCTCCTCCTCGATGGAGAGCTTCTCCTTCACGGCCTTCTTCTTGCTGGCGTTGGACTCGCGGGAGCCGGAGGTGAGAGTCCGGAGCAGGTCGCTCTTCCTGCGGCTCTCGGCCTGCTGCAGCAGCTGCACCGGGCCCTTCTTGGCCCTGTCCAGAGTCTGGATGTTGGGCTGGCGCGTCACGGGCCCGCAGATGACGGTCTCCTGCGGGGAGCTGGCCTCGGACTGGCTGTCGCAGCTGGACGTGGACAGCTCGTTGCAGGACGTGCCGCTCTCGCCCTCCTTGTCGCCCTTGCCATTCTTGCAGCAGCAGTCGCAGTGCGACGAGGACCAGCGCGAGGGCTCGCCTGCAGGCACAGAGAGAGGGGTTAGGGCAGCTCCGGACCCCACACACCCCAGGACAGGCTGCTGTGCCCTTCCCTGGGCTGCCAGGGCCGCCAGGGCCAAAGGGACCCGCACAGGGACCTTCCCTGGACATCAGCACACAGTGCTGGCACAGCTCCCCAGCACCAGCTGCAGATCCCTGTTACCCTGGAGCACCCCAGGACGAGCAATAGATCCCTGTTACCCTGGAGCTCCCCCAGACCAGCAGCAGATCCCCTTAGCCTGGAGCTCCCAGGACCAGATCCCTGTCACTCTGGAGCTCCCCAGGACCAGCGCAGCAAATCCCTGTTACCCTGGAGCTCCCAGGAGCACCAGCAGCAAATCCCTATTATCCTGGAGCTCTCAGCACCACATCCCTGTTACCCTGGAGCTCCCAGGAGCACCAGCAGCAGCAGCAGATCCCTGTTACAGCGGGTCCTTCCCTGGCAGAGCCCGGCAGGGAAGCCCAGCACAGTGACAATTGACGATTGCCATCCTGCAGTGCAGGGCTGAGGCTGTTTCCAGCTGGAGCCCTGCCCAGCCGCAGCAGTCCGTGACCAGGGCAGAGCTGGCAGCGGGCTCAGCTGTGGGACTCAGGTGATTTTTTGCTGCCCCAGAGCCCCATCGAAAAATGGGGAAAAGGAGAGAAAAAGAGGAGTAGATGTTGGTGGCAATTGAGAGCCCCTGAGGCCGTGGGGCAGAGCCTGGGCAAGGGGCTGTGGGCCCTGGGAGCCCCCCGGCACTGCCCTGCTCTCCTGTGCCTCCATCCTTACCAGGAACACAGAGCACACAATTTACAGGAACAGGCAGAAAACCAGAAGCCAGGAATCCTCCTCACCTCCTCCCTCCTCTTCCCTGTCAATGATGAAGGAGTCTCTCAGTCTGGAGCTGCAGGGCCACTCTCATTTACAGACTCACTTCAAAGCTGCCCTGTGTCTCCTCTGAAAACAGTCAATAATGGCTAAACTGGATTTTTTTATCCATTTCTAGGCTTGGACAAAGGCATTATGAGCTGAGCTCCTGTAGAACCCTGACCCACGTGCCCTGAGAGCAGTTGCAGGAGCTGTGGGGATTGCAGCAGCTCCTCACTGCTCTGGTACCCACATCCCACAGCACTGGGACAGCTCTGAGGGCTTTGTTCCAGCCGAGGAACAGAGCTCAGACTGTGTCTCGAGCCCCCAGACGGACCCCAGATCCCCCTGCAGGGGCCCAGGGCGCTGCTGGGATCATCAGGGAGCTCTGCAAGCCTGCACACAGTGCCCAGGCCACGGACACCCTTCCCCAGCCGGGACTCACAGGCGTCACACCATGGTGTGGGATGGAAGGGATGTTTGTGTCATTGCAATGCCCCTGCCATGGGCAGGGGGGACACCCCCATGGGCAGGGACAGCTCCCAGGGATGGGACAGGGATGGGACAGGCACACACCCCAGGATGGGACAGGGACACCTCCCAGGGCCGTGGGGCAGCAGAAGGGATCCCAGCAGCCGAGGTGGCAGCGGGGCACAAGGCTCCACCAGCTGCCATCAGGCACAGCTACGGCGCAGACTTCATTAGCACAAAGCAAGGCTTTTATAAGTCAATTAAGCCCTATTAGATGCTAATTTCTCTTAATGAATATTCACCAACAGTGGGCACAGCACGGGGTGTGGCGGGAGACAGGAAGGATTTGCCCCAGTGACCAGGAAGGATTTGCCCCAATAACCGGCTCTGTTGGTGCCCAGGTGCCATGGCACAGGTGCCCTGATAACCAGCGTGTTGGTGCCATGGCACAGGTGGGTGGGAGCTCTGTTGGTGCCCAGGTGCCATGGCACAGGTGCCCTGATAACCAGCGTGTTGGTGCCATGGCACAGGTGGGTGGGAGCTCTGTTGGTGCCCAGGTACCATGGCACAGGTGCCCCGATAACCAGCGTGTTGGTGCCATGGCACAGCTGGGTGGGTGGGTGGGTGGGAGCTCCAGGGCTGGGCAGGGCCCACAGGAGCCTCTGCTGCCCACGGGTGCCCAGGGTGCCAGGGCAGTGCCCGGCTGCAGCAGCACACACACACACACCTGCCCTCGGGGGTGACAGCCAGGCCGAGGGGATTGAGGAGCCATCAGGATCCATCCCCGTGCCCGCAGGAGGATGAGGAGGGGCCGAGCCCGAGCGCAGCGGCAGCGGAGGAGCAGCGGCTGCCTTAACCACAGCTCCCTTAATTAATGTCTAAATGCTTTGAGATTCTTAGATAAAAGTGGCTAATTAATTCTGGCCTGGCTTTCCTGCTCCCCTCCCTGATCTCAGCACATTTCTCTCCCAGTGCCCTAATTATAATAATTATTATTAGAAGCTTCTGAAGCGGCAGCAGAGCCTCTGATGTATAATTGACACACGAGCCAGCAGCCACCCAGCTTTCCCCTTTCCAGGCAGGCTGCAGGGAGGGGATGGGAAATCCCTGGGCAGGAGCACAGACAGACAGACAGGTGCTGTGGGAGCTGGGGTGGAACCAGAGTGACAGGAACCAGGGAAGGGTTCCCATGGTGGGAGAGGGGCCAGGCACTGCCCCAGCTCCCACACCTCTGGTCAGGGCTGGGGATGCTGGCCCAGGGATGGAGAGCCCAGCACAGGCAGTCCTGGGCCCAGGGCAGGGCTGGTGTCACGGCTGGGAGGGGACAGTGTCCCCAGGCAGACGCTCACACACATCTGCTGCCCGTTCTTGAGGCGCTCAGGGATGTTTTCTGTATCCAGATGCTCATTTACCTCCACGTGCGTGGCTGTACCAACCTCCCAGCCTGTGATCATCCCTTGAGCCATTTCCTCCTGTTCCAAATCCACTCTGGTCCATTTATGTTGTCCTCTTGCCTTTTATCCCTGCTCCTGCTTTGGGGCTTTGCTGTTGGTTTGATTTATTTCTGTTCCACGCTCCTTTTCTCCTCCTGTCCTATGACTTTCCCCTCTGCTCTGGGTTCTGCCTCCTCCCCCTCCTGTCTGTGCCCTGCTGGGGCCGATGGCAGCGGCTGGTGCCCGTTTGAGCAGTGAATGCCCGGTGGGCAGGGCTGGCAGGGGGAGCTGACAAACCCCGGGCACCGAGGGCTCTGGGATCTGTCCTGGCAGCAGCACAGACACCCCGGGATTTATTTGCTTCTATTTGCTTTTAGGATCAAGCATCTGCAGTAAAACCTCAGCGAGAGACAATCCTGGGAAGGACTTGGCAGGGACATGGCTGCTCTGAGCCCTCCCAGGGGTTCAGAGGCAGCAGGGACAGGGGAGAGGGAGAGGAGGGAACTGGGGAGGAAGGAACCAAGGAAGGAACAGGCAGAGCCTGTGGCTGTCCCAGCCCCCTGAGGAGCCTCACACAAATCTCACCCTTCTGGGGGCAGCTGGGGACACCTGCATGCTGCCATCTGATTTGAATTCAATTGAAATTGAAATTAAAATTTAACATTCCTAGTTCAAAGTGTTTTCCATTTAAATATCCTGAGCTTGCCAGCCCAATATAAAGCCCAGAATTGCTCCCTGGTCTGTCTTGCTCTTGCACAGTGATTTCCAGCCAGGGCCCAGCACACACACATTTCCATCAGGAGGCTCCCAGCACATTGCCATTTCACTCCTGCAATCTTCCCTAAAACACTTGCTTCTGGAAGTGAACTGCTGCGAGAGTATCAAATTTGTTTGAAAATAAAAATAATTTCCCCAAATGGTGAAGAAAAAGAGACCTGGTGCTAAAATACCAGAAGGCATATCAAATGAGCCAAAATATTTATGTAGGGATCTTCTCAAAGTAACGTGTGATGGAGTTGGAATTTGGAGAGAGGGAGCAGGCTGGAGTGTGAGCAGCAGGATGGGAGCACAGCAGGGTGGGAGCAGCTGCTGCTCATGGCTGGGGGCTGCGGGCACCCCAGGCTGACAGAGGGCTCCTCATGGTCACCCCATCCCCTGGGCTGGGCAGGGAACATTGTGGGCTCTGCTGGTGCCCCCGGGCTGGGATACCTGCACAGCCAAGCCTGCCCTGTGAGCAGTGCCTGAATAACCCAGGTGTGAGCAGTGCCTGAGGAATAATCCAGGTGTGAGCAGTGCCTGCAGAAATAACCCAGGTGTGAGCAGTGCCTGAATCACCCAGGTGTGAGCAGTGCCTGAATAACCCAGGTGTGAGCAGTGCCTGAGGAATAATCCAGGTGTGAGCAGTGCCTGCAGAAATAACCCAGGTGTGAGCAGTGCCTGGATAACCCAGGTGTGAGCAGTGCCTGCAGAAATAACCCAGGTGTGAGCAGTGCCTGAATCACCCAGGTGTGAGCAGTGCCTGAATCACCCAGGTGTGAGCAGCACCTGCAGGAATAACCCAGGTGTGAGCAGTGCCTGAATCACCCAGGTGTGAGCAGTGCCTGAATCACCCAGGTGTGAGCAGTGCCTGAGGAATAACCCAGGTGTGAGCAGTGCCTGAATCACCCAGGTGTGAGCAGTGCCTGGATAACCCAGGTGTGAGCAGTGCCTGAGGAATAATCCAGGTGTGAGCAGTGCCTGCAGAAATAACCCAGGTGTGAGCAGTGCCTGGATAACCCAGGTGTGAGCAGTGCCTGGATAACCCAGGTGTGAGCAGTGCCTGAGGAATAACCCAGGTGTGAGCAGTGCCTGCAGAAATAACCCAGGTGTGAGCAGTGCCTGAGGAATAACCCAGGTGTGAGCAGTGCCTGGGGAATAACCCAGGTGTGAGCAGTGCCTGCATAACCCAGGTGTGAGCAGTGCCTGGGGAATAACCCAGGTGTGAGCAGTGCCTGGGCAATCACCCAGGTGTGAGCAGTGCCTGAATCACCCAGGTGTGAGCAGTGCCTGGGCAATAACCCAGGTGTGAGCAGTGCCTGCAGGAATAACCCAGGTGTGAGCAGTGCCTGAGGAATAACCCAGGTGTGAGCAGTGCCTGAATCACCCAGGTGTGAGCAGTGCCTGCATAACCCAGGTGTGAGCAGTGCCTGAATAACCCAGGTGTGAGCAGTGCCTGAGGAATAACCCAGG